GCTAACCCACCCACCAGAACCATCCTAGCCACCCTTCCTCAGGGCTGTCCAGTCGACGAGATGCTTGTCAGAGCCACACGCGCAGAACAGAGCAACCAAGCTGCAGCATTCACCGCAACCATTCAAGATGCCATGCAACAACAGGGACACATGATTGCAGCTGCCTTGTCAGGCAGCAAAGGTAACAACTCACTTCGTCGCAGCAAAAGTCAACCTAATCTTAAATCATCTAAAACCCTTTGCTTTCGATGCGGTGGAACAGGCCATCTCCGGCGAGACTGCCAAAAGGCTGTGTGGTGCCACAAGTGCAACACTGACAACCATGCCACAGAAGCTTGTCGCAGTTCGGGAAACGGTCAGCGCAGCGCGTGGAGGCACCGCGTGAAGAAATAAATCGATGCCCAGACCCCACAGACTCCAAGAACAGCTTCCTGTTGAACAACTCACCTGCCACCTGGGGAAGTCTTGGAGTCGACGTTGCCACCGCCACAGAAGTCACTCTGAATGACACAAAAGTAACCCTAATTCCTACCAATGTATATGGTCCAATGTACAGCACAACTTCTCTAGTTGGAGGTTTGTTGCTGGGGAGATCCTCCACAAGCAAACAAGGTGTGATCGTGATTCCCGGTGTCATTGACGCAGACTTCACCGGTCAAGTGAAAATAATGGCTCATGCTTTGCAACCACCTGTGACAATTCCCAAAGGAAGCAAGATTGCCCAAATTGTAGCAATTGAAAATTTCTTGCCACATCGTCAGCGCCCAAGAGAATCAACTGATTCTGAAAGACAAGACAAGGGCTTTGGATCAACTGGCCATGATGTCTTCTTCACAATTAATCTGAAAGATCGTCCGTACAAGAAGGTACAACTGAAACGTGGTTCACACTGTGTTCGATTGGAACCAATGCTTGATACAGGAGCAGATGTCTCAATTATCAATCAGATGTACTGGCCATCCAACTGGCCCTTGCGAGCCCCAAGTTCGCACATTGTAGGAGTGGGTGGAATGAAAATTCCTTCAGTTAGCAGAGATCCCATCAGCATCATCTTTGAAGACAATCAAGTTATTGTGACTCAACCATATGTCATGTCTTTGCCCACGCAGCTTCCAGGATTGATAGGCAGAGATGTGCTTTCCCAGCTTGGGATGGTTTTGACCACTGATCAGCATTTTCCGTGATGGCCACTGCAGAGCAGCCGCCCATTCTCAAAATTACCTGGTTGACTGAAACACCCGTTTGGATTGAGCAGTGGCCAATGTCAGAAGAACGGCTGCAAATTGCTAACCAATTAGTACAAGAGCAACTTGAAGCTGGACATGTTCAGCCATCTGTCAGCCCATGGAACACCCCAATTTTCATCATCCCAAAGAAATCAGGAAAATGGAGATTGGTGCATGATTTGCGAAAAGTGAATGAGCAAATGCAGGCAATGGGTGCTTTGCAGCCTGGACTGCCAACACCAACCATGATCCCACAGGGGTGGAGCATTGTTGTCATTGATTTAAAGGACTGTTTCTTTGCCATTCCTCTTCATCCACAAGATACCCAGCGATTCGCTTTCACTGTGCCATCCATCAACAGAGCAACACCAGCAAAACGATATGAATGGGCTTCCCTCCCTCAGGGGATGCGCAATTCTCCAACCATGTGTCAGCTGTTTGTCGATTGGGCCCTGCGGCCAGTTCGTCAACATTTTCCCAATGCAATCATTTATCACTACATGGATGACATTCTCATTACCACCAAACAGCCATTGGCAGATGCAGACTTGAATTGGCTTTTTTCGCAACTGAAAAAGCATGGATTGACAGTGTCCCCAGAAAAAGTACAGCGATCAGCCCCCTGGAAATACTTAGGTTGGCTGATCACAGATTCGCAAATCCGACCCCAGAAACTTACTTTACATGTTGACATTTCTACTTTACATGATGCCCAGAGACTTTTTGGAGACCTGCAGTGGGTTCGTACCATTGTAGGAATCACCAACGATGATTTGCAACCATTTTTGCCGTGGCTTCATGGCAGTGATGCCAACAGCCCTCGAGTCTGTACCCCTGAGCAACAAGAAGCTTTGATTCGAGTTTCAGAAAAACTACAACGCAGCTGGAGTGCTCGTCGCATTGAACATTTGCCATTGTCACTGTTCCTCTCCAACGCTGATGTTTCTCCGCTTGCCATTGTCTTTCAATGGCAAAAGAAAAAGAGGGAGTCCCAACGTGGATCAACAGCAATTCTACTTGAGTGGGTGTTTTTACCCGTTCAACCAAGAAGTCGTGTGATGGGCAGGACAGATGCTCTTGCTGCATTGATACGAAAAGGCAGAGACAGAATTTTAGAAATGGATGGAAAAGAACCAGCAGACATCAGTGTTCCTGTGAAAAATGAAGATCTGGAATGGCAGCTCAGACACTCTACTGCACTGCAGGAAGCATTGTTGGGTTTCACAGGAGTGGTGCACAACAAACAACCAAAAGGCCCAATGTGGCATTTTGTCAGTCGTTACCAGTGGTTGGAAAGACCCTTGTGTTCATTGAAACCAGTGGAAGGAAGAACAGTCTTCACTGATGCCGGACGAAGATCAAAAAGAGCTGCGTGCGTTTGGCAACAACGAGGGAAATGGTCGGAACATCTAATCAGAGGTGATGTGGAAGATAGTCTACAAACCCTCGAGTTGAAGGCCGTGTGTTGGGCTTTCCAGACCTGGAACAAGGAACCACTCAACGTTGTCTCAGATTCTTTATATGTAGTTGGAGTTGTGCAGAGAATTGAAGATGCGCTCCTCAGAAGAACCCAGAACCAGCGTCTTGGAGAACTGTTCCTGCAGTTGCGGAGCGTGTTGAAGCAGCGCCAGCATGCCTTTTGCATCATGCACATTCGAAGTCATCAATGTAACAGAGGTTTGGGAGAGGGCAACGCATTGGCGGATGCCGCGGTCAGTTATGCAGTCCATGTCCCCCCCAGAACAGTTTTGAGAGAGCTCGCAACAGTCATGAGACATTCCACCAAAATGCGAGAGCCATGCACCGACAATTTCAGATCCCCATGAGTGATGCACAGGGGATTGTTCGAGCCTGCCCTCAATGTAGTCATTACGGGCCTGGCCTCGGACTTGGTACAAATCCAAGGGGTCTGAAAGCTTTAGAGTTGTGGCAGATGGATGTAACTCATGTCCCCGAGTTTGGGAAGTTGAAATGTGTTCATGTCACTGTAGATACTTATTCTAGATTCATTTGGGCCACAGCACAGACAGGGGAAAAGGCCCTCCATGTGAAGAGGCATTTATTTGCCTGCTTCGCAGTAATGGGTGTACCTGTGGAAATCAAAACTGATAATGCCCCATCTTATACTAGTCAACAAGTTGCAACATTTATGCAGAAGTGGGGGGTGAAACATACCACAGGGATCCCTCACTCATCTACAGGTCAGGCCATTGTGGAGAGGGCCAACCGTACCCTGAAAGAATATATAGCAAAACAAAAGCAAGGTGATGAAACTGATGTGTTTAACCGATTGTCAAAGGTATTGTTCACTCTAAACTATTTGTGTTTGGCAGAAGGTAAAGAAGAACCTGCGGTCGTGATACACCACCAAACAGTGAAAGAAGGAAGACCGCAAGCGATTCCAGGACTTTACGTGTATCACAAAGACATGCAGACGGGTGAATGGCGGGGGCCAAGTCCAGTGTTGTTTCTTGGTAGAGGTTATATGTGTGTTTCAACAGGTACTGGTCCAGTCTGGGTACCGAGCAGATTCACCCGTGCGTGTCCACAGGAAAAGATACCAACCCGCAGTGATAACAACGTCAACGACAACAGTTTGCCTGGAACATCCCGTGATGAATCCTGTTCCGATGAAAATTAATTTTGTAGAGTTCAGAGAAAATAGGTTGAAATATCATAAGTGTGAAGTTAGATTTATCAGAAGTTAGTTTATTAGAAGTTATAGTTTATGTTTGAAATTAAGATTGTTTCTTTCATGTTAGCTGGGTCAAAGGGTATTGCACTTTTTTTTATCTTTATAGTTATTTAAATTGTTATACCGTGTTTTTTACAGTGTGTGCAAGAATTAGTTCTTTGAGCCTTCACTCCAGCCTGAGTAGCTCAAAAGAAAAAGAGGGAATTGTTGCAGCATTTTTGAGAGAAAGAGGGCATGAATTGTGAAAGTTGAGCTACTCCAGGCTAGGCCTCAGATTGAGGCCTGGTGGGGCCTTCAAAGCCTCTGACGCAGTTAGAAATTCAGGGTTGTGGCGCAGATAGAAAATAGTCTTAAAGTATTGTAGGGACCACCGGGTGTGAACTAGTATAGGTTTTATGGTGTATAGTGCAGGCCGTTTTAAGGAAAAGGTAAACAATGTTAGCCTACCAATCAGAGTGTCTTTGTTTTCTGTAAACTATATAGAAGCTTATATAAACTACCGCCTGATTTTGAATAAACGGAGAACGTTGCATTAATCATATTGATTGGATGTGCGTTTGTCTTGTCCAGCTTTCCGTTTTTCTGAGGTTCCCTGGCTTTAGTTCATAACTAATTTGAAAGAGTTACATCAGAAATCTTTAATTATGAACCCAGATCTCTTAACAGTTTCTGCCTCTTAACAGTATCAGCTTGCCTTCCTACAGACAAAAAGCCCCATGATTCTGAAAAAAGATTCCTCGGCTCAATTCTGCTCTCAGTTTGCAATCCCGTAAATACAGCAGTGCACAGAGATAACTGTTGGGTTAGGGCTCATCTCTATGGCTAAATGGTGTGAAGCCTGCGTGCATCCTGCATAACAAATTCCTCAACACATGCCCTTCTCTTTTCACTGCTTTTTTGACTCTCCAATGCTACTAGAAGGGTGAAAAAATAGGAGAGTGTGGTCAGGCATGCACTGCCTGCTGCAGCCCTGCTAAATACTGACTTGCAGTCTGCACTCAGCATATGAATGAACAAAGAATTGTGCTTACCCAAGCTCTTAGAAATGGAGATTTTATTCTTTATATGTATTCTCTGAATAAAAATTACTAGCTGTGGATTTTCGTATTAGAAATAACAACCTGTAAGTATTTAAAAATTCTGCTTTCATGATTGGCCTCAGAAATACCTTCTGGCTAAGGTTTACTCAAAACAAATAACCCCTGGAATAAGAATTATTTTCTTGTATTAACATATGTCAAATGCCCATGTATTTTTTATAAGAAGAATTAAGAGGCAGCACAGTTTTATGCAAAAATACATCTGCATGTTTAAATACAATCAGGTATTCTTATTTTACCTTTCCTAGAGTCACTTTTGCTGACTTCTTTTCAGTTCGCAGAACATTTTGTCTCTTGTAAACACTCTTATGTTCCACAAAAGATGCCAGTTCTAAGAGAAAAAGAACTGCAAAGGAAGTTGGTGAAACAGTATTATCTATTATGCACTGTGTTAGACTGTGTCAGGTTTGACTGCAAAATAATTAGTCTTTCTGGTTTTTGTTTGTTTGGGATTTTTAAAATATTTTAAGTGTTGTAAGACTTACTAGCTGTTGAAATATGATGCAAGGATCACTGGTAAGTCAATTCTTCAAGATCAAGCTAATGAAAGAGCACAAGATTTATTTCTCTTTTCAGTTCCTTGATTATTAAAAAAAAAAAACAAACAAAAAACAAAAAAAACAAAAACAAACAAAGAAACCACAAAAAAAAACCAAAACAAAACAAAGAAACAACAAACAAACCCCAAACAACCCAGAAAAAAAGGAATTCCAGTATGTAGGGGTTTAAGCATTACAGTAAATTTTTAACCAGACAGCTGTTCACTGCTGTGATCATTAATGATCCCATGAAATAAGTTATGCATTTATACACATTTAGAGAAGTAAGACTGATGTCAAATTATATTGAGAGATATTTGTTTAATAAATTAACTGCAGTGAAAATGGGCATTTCTTGCTTTACTGCACACTACTGGATGCACTTCTACATTGATAGTTCCTCAGACTTTTGGCTGCTGATCCGGGTGATTGCCTCTGCCCCCTTTCTGTAACCTCTCCTATCATCCACTGACGCATCATTTCTTACTTTTCTGTCTTTTCCACTTCCACTTCCCTTACTTCAGTTTTATTTCTTTTTGAGACATGAAAGAAAAAGCTTTTTGATCAGTTCTGTCTTTGTAAAACAATCTCTCTCAGGTCCTCACTTGCCATGGTCCAGAACTTGGGCTTTGTCTCTACAAATCCATTTCCCACATCACTGTTGAACTGAACTGAACTGCAGCCCTTCAATGCCCTCAAGGCATCCATAGAGTTCAGCAATGAATCCAGAAGGAAGGCTGGGAAGAGCATGATTCCAACAGAGTCAGATATGCCCCAGTTCTTCCCACAGCTTTCTCCACTACTCCTCACTCCTAAATTGAGAAACTCTAGTTTCCAGCGTGAGTAAATGACAGAACAGAGGAAGGAGAGTGGAATGATCCTGTGCTAAGAGATCTTTCTGGGTCTACAACATGTTATAAAGGCAGCATGAAAAGTGCAGGGATCCCATGTCTTGTGAGCTTAGGAGTAGACTGAAGGCAGAAGGATTTCATATCTGTGATTCATGTGCTTGTGTCTTTGCTGAAATGGGAACTGATGTGCTCCCTAGGGAGATAAATTTATCCAGAATGTCATTTCCTATTAGAATACTTTGGTGTTCTGAAATATTTTGATGAAAATAAAACCTATGTTGCAGAAATTTCTGGAGGACAGAACATGTTTAACTATCACAGTCATCAGCAGAAAAAGGTTTTGAGGTTACTTAATAGTCACAGTCTACAAAAAGACCATTTATATTTACATGTGTCCCCACTTCTTTTGACCAAAGTAGTATTTTGTTAAAAGAGATATAGCTTCAAATAACATACATTGACAAAAAAATAGTGGGAATATTCAATATTTTTGTTTACATATCTATACAAGAAATGAGGAAGTGAACTTCTAACTGTCTGTATCCAAAATGTGGATCCTTATGTAAGATCCAGGAGTAGGAACCTGCTTGAGTAGGAGAGCAGTTTAGGATCTTTTTGGAAAAAGGGGCAAACCTGTTCTCATTTCTATTAATCACCATCATCATCACAAAAAAAGTACACTTTTCAGAACAGTTTTACAAGGTGGTTGAGCATTTATAAAGATGAAAAATGAGTAGGAAGCTTCTCAAAAGAGGCACTGATATTCTACCTTAAAATTAATATTCTCTCTAAAGTATTTTTAATCCTAGATAAAATATCTCAATTTTGCAGATCACTCTTGGGAGCAGGACGAGAAACATCAAAAAAATCAGCCTCACCAAAAAAAAAAAAATTTCTTTTGAATATACTGTTTTAAGAACTTTCAAACAGCTCTACTTTGTAAGAATTCCAAAGTAAAGGCTGCACAAGACTTATATTTTTAGATGGAGCTTGAAATCATAGATCTGTGATGAGAAGAGTGTAGTAGATAGGGACAGGCAAACGGAAGATCCCGGGATGTGACGGAAAGAAAGACCCTTCCCCCTTCACCCTGCAACACATTATCTACCACCCCCAGAACATGTAACCACACCTAACCCAGGAGTTTTCCACTCCTGACTAACCCTAGAGACCCTACGAACCCCCTCTGACGTAGCAAAGTCCCCCAAGACTATTTAAACCCATGAGATAAGATAATAAACGCTTTCGACCATCCACCACATTGGTGTTTGCGTGCGTCGTTAGCCTGAGTAGCCCGGACGAGGCCGGGCTGCCGTGCTGCCTCCTTGCAACCAGGTCGCCATTGCCTCCCCTGAAGGCAACACTATGTACAGAATTTTCTAAACCAAGATTGCCTGGAAATTAATGGCAACTGGTGGATAATTTGTCTTCATGTATTGTGTATATGCTTGAGTCTGTATCTGATTGAGCCTTATCTGCTGTTTAAGTTTGCCACATATGACAAGAAATTCAGCAATCTGAACAGGGTTATATGTAGAAATCATACCTTGTCCTGAAAGAGAATTACAGTAGGAGACACAGAAAAGCTATTCTCACTTCCTCAGCAGTGCTGAGAGAAGGAGAGGAGCTGAAAATAAATTGGGGTATAAACCAGACAAAAGACATCCTATCTGGAGGTTGTTACAGGTGTCTCCTCATCTTTCAGCAACCAGGCTGAAATGGACAACTTCATCCTGATGCTTCCTTTCACGGTTAAGGGTGAGGGGAGACTAAAGGACTGGGTAATCAGTTAGGAGGGGTAACACACTATGCATTGAGTTAAAATCCATTTAAACCTCTACACCTCACCCAATTTTTACAGCTTTGCACAGCTCACCTGCTTTTTGCTGCCTCAAGGTGACGCCTAATCACCCTTACTGATTTTCAAGGGATGCATGCACTTCCCTAGGGTGTTGGCTCCTGAGATAAGTGTCTCAAAAAGTGGGGTGGGATGCCAAATTTCTCCACTGATTGCTGAAGGGGGCTGGATTTCTGCCATCTAGGTGGGAAGACAAAATGCATCCCTTTGTCTGAATATCTCCCCTATGGCAGACATGTCTGCTTAGCTCTGCAAGTGAAGAATGTCTCTTTTCCTGCCCTAGAACAACATCTAACCCAGCACAAGAGCAAATACAATCGAGGATAAGGCAGCATAGAAGTTGAGAAGAACACTAGAAATGAGCATATAATTGTGCCTGAGTAGGTAAAACCAATTACCTTTCTCATTCCTTTCTTGTAGAGGAATTTCCCCAGCTTTTTACAGAGCAGTGAGAGCATCTTACCAACACGGTGCAGAAAAACAATGTTCAGAGGGATTCCAAATAGAGCAAAAACTCACAAAAGATCTGTCCCCCAGCAGTTTTAGGATGTAATGTGCCATAGCCTGTAAAAAAAAGATGGGTCAGAGGAGATACTCCAAAGAACTGCAGCAATTCACAGTCATATTCACCCTTACTCCAGTCCAGCCTGCCTTTGACTCTAAAAGGTGTGGCTAGTGTTTCTCAGACCAAATGCACGATTTTTTCCTCTGAAAAAGGCAGTAAGCAGATAAAGTGGCTCTGTGTGTTCCCAGCACAGTCTTAGCGGGAACAAAAACACAATCAAGAAGTAATTATGGGAAACATGCTCTGTCCTGTGACAAATACATGGAAAGTCAGAAAATAGAAGTCAGAGGATCTGGAAGACATCAGAGCTGGAGTCCCAGGCTGTCAGGATCACATGCAGCCCTCTCCAGCTTCCTGTTGATCTGCCTGTGTGTTAGTGACCTCCCTGGCTACATCCCAGCGAGTTGCTATGTCCAGATACTGACTCCAGTCCCAAGGCAGTGCAGTGTGCATTAGAATAGATGGTGCTAATTAGTCCAGACCTTGCCGGTGGCTGATTTATTCATACCAGAGAGACATTTGCCTTAAGGTCCTACTAAGTAGTGGAACAACCCCAAACATGTCCCTTAGTCTCAAGACTCTTGGACCCCATGAGGTCCATTCCTGAGTGCAAGAATACTGAACTTTGTGTATGTCCTTATGCTATCAGTGACCCTGGGAAACTGCATTTCCCATGCACAGCTCATGTCAAGGCATCCATGCATTGGAAAATGCAATGTTTTCTTTGGGGGAAAAGACAAAACAACTGAGTGATTTTTGGGCTACTAGATTCCCAAATGCATGAGCTGTCTTGTGCTCCCTGTTGCAGAAATATTCCAATTTCAATGATTATTCCACTTTAAATGATGAGGGTCAGAACCCTCCCCTTCCACAGGAGATCTCCCTGCGGGCTCAGGCAGCACTTACACAGCTCCCATGATGCTGGGGCACTGCTGGGGCCTTTGGGACATGTGACACTCACAGATCAGATGTGCTTAGGGTCTGGTCTGGGAGGAGTGAGGCCTCAGCACCACTCTGTAAAAACACAGATTTGACTTCCACTGTGACTGTGAAGCAGGTGCCAACAGTATGGGTTTTATCCCTAAGTCTGGCAGGCCTGCACTTTTTGGGATGTGCATTTGAAAGAAAGGACGAAGCCTGTAGGGGTAGGCAGGCCCTGTAAAGATCAGAACAGCTTGAAGCAGCAGTGTAAAATTCTGAGGATTTGCCTTTACCCCTTCCCATTTTTTTTCCTCCTGGCACATTACTAATTGTATATGCGAATTAACAGCTCAAAACAGGTTATGGAAACAGTGCCCAGGCCCCAGCAGGATTCACTTCTTTCCTTTCAATTTTAATGTTTTACAGCACTCTCAGATTTAAAGCCTGGAATAAACCAGGAAAGTGAAGTTTATCTCCCACCCACAAATATCAGCAGAGTGAAAATTATAACAGATGATTTGAAAAAAGAACAAGTGGGAAATAATATGAAAGGCCACTGATATCTGACAAGCCAAAATAAAGCATCAAGAGATGTGCAGTGGGAAGGTCTTAGGACTAAGACTAAGCCACCCATGACAACAAAGAGCTGGAGTTTTTATCCTGGAAAGTATTATCCATTTGTTTCTTAATAACCAGACATAATAAGCATCACTGACACACAGGCACACACAAATGGAAAGCATTAGACCTACCTATTGTGGAGACAACGGTGCCTGCAAAGAAGAAGGAGTTGCTAAAATCCCAGTTGCTTTCTTCAAACTGTGACTCGTTTCCAACAGGGTAAACTCCATTCTGAATGGCTTCAATCAGGTTCTGGGAGAAAAAGCAAAGTTTGGTATCATCCTGATGCTTTTCTGAAGTGCTTGCTGCAAAAATATTACAGGTTTAGCCAACTGCTGCTCCTCTCCTGCGAGTACCACTCGCCTCACTTCAGAGATTGTCTGACACTATTCACACCTTCACCTCCAAGCCTGGAAAACCATTATCCAGTGGTTTCAAGTGTTCAACTTCTGCCCTATTTGTGCTGACTCTTCTAGTGGGTGTTTGGAGAGAAATTGTTTCTTTCAGTGTGACCAAGGACCTCGTTTCTTTCACATCAAGTAGATTGGAAAATCACCATCCTGTGTGTGACCAGGATGTGGCAGAGCACTGATTTAAGAGATGGGGGTGGCTGGTTTTTTGATTTGGATTTGCAGCTGAGATGGCAGTGGTGGAGCCAATATTTGATCACCCACCTGTATGAGCAGTGGCTCTGATCCCTCCCAGTGAGTTCTGATCCCTCCCCACATCAGTGAGTTGTACCAGGGTACACATGAGATAAACTGAGAATTTAATTTCAAGTCTGTATTTTGACTCATGTCACAGAATTAAATTCAGAGAAAGTCCACTGATTTCCAAAGCCTGACATACACATCCTTCTCCAAACTGTATGCATGAATACACATAGATAAATTTGCACATTTACACAGATGTTTGCAAAATTGCCTTTGAGAGGAGGTTAGAGGGGAACATCTGTTAGAGATGGTTTCAGTTGAGTTGAGACTGCCCTGCTACACAAGGATTGACTAAATATTTCTTCCACACCTCTCCAGTGCTATCATTTACCACTTTAGGAAATTTCAGACTCTTCCTTGGTTTTAATTCTAAGTGCTGTTACTTTTTTTAACCCTCTTTTTTTTTTTTTTTCTTTTTTTAAGTTAAAAGTAAATTTAGAAGCAAACAATATCCAGTTGTCCCTGTCTTTAGCAAAGAGAGAACATTGGACTGGACATCTGGAAGCTCTTATTTTTTATTTCTTTCCTTCTTGACAAGCTCTCTTTTTTTTTTTTTTTTTTACCTTCTTTCCTACCCATAAAAAACAAGGTGAAGAGGATGCATGCATGGGTAAAACAGGGGCTGAACTGCTGGTTCTGCTATTAGAAACACCAGTTCTTCCCCTCATTTCTTTATTCTGTGAAGTGGACCATTAAGAGCTCTGCTAGTTTTCTGTGTGCAAATGCTTCCAGCAAGGCTTTAACTCCTCATTTTCTCCTGCATTATAGCAGATAGAACTCTAAAATACCCAAGTTGAAGAGACAGCCATATTCGTCTTCATCTTCCTGCGCCATGACCAGAAATATTTTCCCCTGGCCAGGCTACTTGTTCCACTTCTGCAGCATCCTCAAAAACTAAACTCTGATCATGCCACCCTCCTTGTAGTTATTTAGAGCTGTTTGGGTTTTTATTTCCCCCATCCAGACATTTCCTTATTGTTCCTTTGTGCTATCTGTGATGCTGTTCCAAGTGGCAGCCACACCTATTCATTTCAGACAGCCTCATTTTTCTTGCCATGCCACCTATTGTGTAAGAGCACAGCCCCACTAAAAGAATCAACAGGAGGCAAAACCCAAAAAACCCCAAGGATATTGTGAGATGGGGATTTTTAATATCAAGTATACACAAGGTTTCGTCTGGCTGCATAAGTTGTATTTGCCATCAGAGTGAGCTGCCTGCTCACACCACAGAGGGGTTTGCTGGAAGCCTCCAAGTGACCACAATCAGAAGGAAAACAGTAAGAGTTACCTGTGCAGTGAGGACAAGTAGGGAACAACATCTGATGGGGAAACAGGAGGGAGAAAGGACTTCCACTCACCTTCATGAACTGCTCCATCTCCACCACCGTGAGCTGCGTGAAGTTCTGCAGAAAAGCCTCCTTCATCTGCGCAGCTGCCATTTTCTCCTGCTTCTCAGCAGTCCTCTCCAGGGCCTGGAACACGGCAGCACCCACCAGCAGGTAGACAAAGTAGCCGGCCACCAGCAAAGCTGTCTGCAGCTTACCACTGCGCATGGCCTTCAGGGTGACTCTGCAGGGGATGGGGAGCGAGAGGTGGGATTGTAAATCCCTCACACTCCTGGGAAGCCTCCCCGGGCAGGAAGAGCCCTCCCAGCTCTGCTTTCCACTGGGATCCCGCACTAGCAGGGACAGTGTGCTGCCAGATGTATTCATTGGGAAGTTGGAAGCGGGGGGGGGGGGGGGGGGGGAGAAGCACAATAAACTCACACCCCCCTCCCCCCAAAGGAAAAACTTTCCATTCTCTGAGCTGCATGCTGTTTAGGGATTTCCTCTTGTCTGTTAAACTCTCCCTTGCTGATCTCAGGAAAAGTGGGTCAGGATTTGAGCAGCTGGCAGGTGGCCATCTCCTCCTCAGAAGGCTCTGGGGAAAGGTGAGGATAGTCTGGAAGGGGTCCACAGGGGAGTTTGCTTGGAAAACCATTGTTTGCCCTCCTGTGTCTCCTGCTGAGTCCAAGAAGAGGACTCCAGAGCAAGCTTCTGATCCCAGGAGCTCCTTCATGCCCTGTGTTCAGGGGCAGTCTCAGGGAAATGCAGCTGGACTGATCTTTTGGGCTTCACTTGTCTGCTTGCAGCCCAGGGCAAGGTCATGCAGCCCTGCAGGGCCTCAACAGCCCGGAGCAAAACCTTGGACACACAGGCAAATGGCTGTGGGTTGCATATGTGCCAAATCTGAACAGGTTCTTCTGCCAGCAATTCCTCTGCAGTGTATCCAAGGGAATACATTACACTTGTACTGGGTGCACAGTTAGATGGATAAAAAAGTACCTATGCCATCAGATCCGTGGACTCATAAAATCATAGAATTGTTTAGGTTGGAAAAGACCTCTAAGATCATCAGACATGGTGTTTATGGACAGAGGTTAGTGGTGGGCAGTGCTGGATTAATGGCTGGACTCAATGACCTGAAGGGTCTTCTCCAATCTGACTTTGACTCTCTGCTGCCTACAGCATTGTAACCTGTGCTGATTTCAGAAGGATGATTCCCATGCATTGAGAAGTCATTTATATAACTGTCAGAGCTTGTTTACATTAGCTTCAAGAAGAACTTGGGTACCACTGAGAAGAATTTGTAAGAGAGGGAAGCCCTTGAATGAAGATGTGGATTTTGGAGTGGACAGCAGATAGGTCTGAACTTGGCTGAACCATGGACATTGTTAACACTCATTAATTTTCTTGACTTTATATTTCCCAGCATTTCCATTTTCTCTGTGCACAATTGCATTTTTATTTCAGCAGATGCCCTACTTTAATAATGAGAGCACATTGAAGCAAATCACCCTTTGAAAAAGCATTTAAAATACACCACCTATTCTGCTCTTCAAGTCTTTGTGGTTTTATTGAGTTTGAAAATACCAAGAAAAGGCAGAGGCTCTGGGATTAGCTTTGCAGAACTGGTGTAAACAAGAAGCGGCACGTGGCTCACAACTGCAGACTGTCCTTTCACATACAAATCTGTTTGACCTTAGAGGAAAACAGGAAGACTATGAATGAAGGTAAGCAGCTTCCAAAACCCTTACAATGTTTGAAGATCTTCCTTAGGGTTACTGGAAAAGGGTTTGTTGAAACAGGAGATGCCGTACTTCCTTTAACTTCTTTTGAAGCTACACGTCAAAGGTGTGCTTCTTACTCAGATTTAAATTATTGCTCCAAAATAAGAACAATCATAGCTCCATCCTTTTGTGTCTCTCAGTCTCCCAGACTCATGAGATAAGATAAAGCCCTTTACACGTACAAATGCAACATGTGTTCATCATTCTCAACAGACATGGAGATAATACAAGTGGATTATTTCCTCAGTTCATCTGAGGGGAAAGATAGAAATTATATGAAACTCATGTAAGATCATGAGAAATTCAATATTGATGACAGCTGCAGTGGTTTGTTTGTATGGGTAAGATTCCCCGAAACCTCATCTTTCTTATGCTGTCTCCTCCAGCCTCTATATATATACTAAGTTGGGTTTCCCTCTAAGCCCCTCTCCAAAGGGGCTATTTGTGCCTGCATCTCCAGAAACCTTTGATTGCAAGGCAGTTTGGTGACCTTGTTTTTTCTCTAGCTCTGGAACAGGGAATACACATCAACTTTTCTCAGTCTGTTTCTTCATGCAAATAATCTTTAATAACCTGCCTGTGTATCTTTAATAACCACTACTGATTGTTTGAATGTGAGAGGAGTGCCCCATCACACAGCATCTTGTTCATACTTGGGTTGACACTTCCACAGGGAACAAGGGAGGTAAAACACTGTTCACTGCTAGGATGTTTGCAGAAAAGTTTGCTGATAAGTCCTTCTTTGAGGAAGAAAGGAAGGGGGACTTCACTTAGTGGAATGATTTATTTGAAGTAATTCCTTGTAACGGTAAGAGTATTTTCCATTAGCATTGACTGTTCTCCTCTCCTTATTTTGCCCAGATTAAAAACTGCAAAAAATGTTCTTGGTGGGGGTTGCTAGAGCTGTACTGCTTGTTACAGCTGTTGAGTGTCAGGGGCTTGAGACAAAGCACCATTATTGACTCAGTTTCCCCACAGGGGTCTGGGTACTGGGTTAGCTTGACACCGTTCACCCCAGCCATAAAAGCCAAGCATTTCCCAAGTGCTGGGAGATGTTGTAGGTCCACCACCCTCATCCAAAGCCTGATCCTGGCATCTCACACCTGCTTCATACCCACACTGATAACCTGTCTAGATAGCTGGGAAGGTAAATGGGAACGCTGTACCTGGTGAACCAGCCACCATTACCTTTGTACTCAATGATCCTCAAGGGCGCCTTCCAACAGGGATATCTATGAGATTGTGAGTGGAAGGCAGATGAAAATAAATCCAAAGGAGAGAACAATGGGAGTTATTTGAAGAAGCTTCCCTCAAAAGCAGCCTTAAGCAGTGCACCAGGGCCTTTCTGAGTTCCTGAGGGAGGAGTTGGCTGAGGGGACAAAGGGTGGGGTTGGCTGGGCTGTGATGCGCTCTGACACCTGTGACATCACAGGGGACGTGTCACAGAGGGGGAAGCAATAAAAGGCCCCAGCAGGTTAACGCTGGCCCTCTATTGCTTGGGCAAGCGGTGAGTACACACACGGTGGGGAGGCTGGGCTGGGGACAAGGGCTGGGGCAGAAATGCTGCAACCGGGGCTGGCTTCTCCCCCTGCATGCAGGGACAGCCCCTCATGGGAGAGCCTTGGGCAGGCCACAGGGCTGCTGCTGCTGCTGCAGCTCCAGGGGCACTGGGATAGCCCTTGCTGCCTGCCAGCTGTCTGGGGCCCTGTCCTTCCTGCGCCCAGAACCCTGAGCATCCTGTCCTCCCTCCAGCAAACAGTAGTTCCCGCCCTCCCTTCCCCACTCAAGGCCTTCTCTCCCTCCTCCTGCAGACCATGGATCCAGTCGTGTTCCTGTTCGCGCTCTTGCAAGGTCTCATCCAGTACCCGCCGCCCGTGGGTGATGGTTTGGATGAGGAAACACATTGGCGCATGGAAGCGCGTGCAAAGTACTTGGAATGGGAGAGGCTTCGGCTGGAGCAGCAGGTGGAGCAGCTCTCCCAGAAGAAGATGCCACACTTGCAGCTCTTAGCTGTTGCTGTGGTCCTGGCCCTGGTCAATGATGTTGTCAATGGGGCTGCACTTGCAGAAAACAACAATGACAATGATGTTGCAAATGTAGTCCAAGAAGAAGACAACAATGTTGATGATCGTGATGGACAAGATATAATGGAGCGCATACAGTGGCCTGTACAGGACCTGCAGAGAGTCTGTGAGTGGATAACTGACCTGTTGGACAATTATACAATTTGCTTTGGGCATGTCTTGTCTGACAGTTTCTACCCAGTCCTGCACCGACCCATCGGGGTGGGCAGTGCCTTTGAAGGTTGGAGTCCCCGTGAGCAGGATGTCGTGTACCGTGTGCTCATACCCATGACTCCTCCCCGAGGCCACAGCTTCCAGCTGGAGCTGGACGGTGAGGGGCAGAGGCACGTGAGGAACTTCCGTGTCCGCGTGCAGCTGGAGTGCACCTGCACGAGGCAGCAGCAGGGTGAGAACATGCTGTGCTTCCTGCACAACCCCGAGGAGGAGCTGAGGAGCAATCAGGATCCCAGCCTCCTAGACACCCTGTGCACCGACTCCTACCTCGACGTGCAGAAAACTGCCCTCTGGTTCCGGCAACTGGTGAAAGCAATCTGGCCAGCTTTGCCTCAGTCACACAACTGGCATTTAACGCTGCTGCCCTCCACACGCTCCTGCCAATTCAAGGTGACCAATGGTGAAGAAAGCTTCAGGATTGAGATGCTGTTCGGGGTGCGGAGAGGTGACTCAGCCATCTTTGTGAGCAGCCAGCCTAGAGAGGCCTACACACTAAGCACAGCCTGGCCTGAGTCCTATGCTGTGGCAGAGGCTGAGTTCTTCAAGTACATTGCCAGGCAGGCCCCCCCTGACAGCTTGCACCTCAAATGCCTTCAGTTCTTCTCCCGCCTTGTTCTGGGCTTCAGCTTCTCCACCTACACCATGAAGACCATTGTCATGCACCTGCTCATTGCCATGCCCGTGTCATCGTGGAGCAGGGGACATCTCCGGGAGCGACTGACGGATATCAGGGACAGCCTGCATATATGTTTGCGACAAAAATGCCTCCAGCACTTCATTGTGGGTAACCGGAGGTTTCCTCAGGACATCAATTTACCCCCAGATGTAAGAATGGGTAGGACATACAATCTCTTCCATCACCTGGCGCAGCAGCCGGCTGCCCACACCCAGGCAATGCGGGATTACCGGGTGCTGCACAAGACGTTCAAAAGGATCGCTCTCGGAGAGGATGACTGAAGGAAGGGCAGGAGCCATGGCCAAGTGCACAGAGCTGTGCTTGTGCTGCTCGCAGCTGGCAGCAGACAACCACCTCCTAGCACAAATTTGGTGCTAAGGAGAAGAGGATGCGTGCAAAGGCTCTGGAGAAGGTCCAACAGCCTCTGCTGGCACCTCAGAAAGTGGACTGCCACGGGAGGGTTTATTCTACTTCTTTGTATCATTTCACTTTCCAAAAAAGGCACCCAGTAGTCATTGAGCCCTGCTCTACATGCTGAGCTAAAGTCTCCAAACCCCACCTGCAATATGCAGTTCTTCCCAGCCTTTGCGGAGAGCTAAAATTTCAAGCATGAAAAAAGTGGGAATCTGGGAC